AAAATAATAATGATGATGATGATGATGATGATGCTGATGATGATAATAGTATGAACATAATTTACATATTAATATAATAATAAATATAACCCAATGTTTTTTGGCAAATAATAAACCTCAACTACCATTCACGCAACGCGTAAAAAAATTGGTAGTTGATTATTATTGGTGCCGTAAATGAAAATAATATAATGATATGAAGAAAATAATGATAATGCTGATTATGATAATTATAAGAATAATAATATTCCTTGGCATATAAAATAAAAGATGCCACAGAAATATTATAAAGTTCGTAACTATTTTATTCCTTCCACCCAAAAAAAGATAATAATCATAGTAATTATGCTATAAGTTAATGAACTCGAGTTAAACCAAAAAAGCCAAAGGGAAAGAGCAAATATCAAGGGAGACCATCGTCAGATTTAACAACGTATATTATTCACCGATAGCAAATCTCATCATATTCGATGCGAGCGTATTCATCATCATCGGAATCTACCACTTCAAAATCTTGTTCTGCACGAGGTAGGTGAGCCCATAATAAAATTCTTCGGCCTAAGTAATGATAGAAGAACACAGGATAATCAGTATCTAAATATCTTTGAGTACGTGATCTGTGTCTGACAAGTACCTAAAGCATCCATTCTTTCCTCACTTGTAACAGCTTCGGTGTGAAACATCCAGAAATGTCCATTATTACATGCTTCCATGCATTGTTGACATGGTTGTGTGATGTGATATCCAAGTATGTTCCCACTTTTCCCAGCAATTATTAAAAGATAAATTAATAAAAGAGATTTGATTAGGCTTGAAATAGAAAAATTAATAGCTACCAAATAAGACAGGCGACATCTCGAATTTTGCAATGACAGTTTTGAGTGATGTAATCTTCCGCAACTAATTGAACTCTACGAAGTCCGTTAAAATAATTAATTAATTAATTAATGACGAGGAGGAGGATCGCAAAATTTGAAAAAATTATTTACATACGATATTGGTGGAACATCTGTTGAGAAAAGTTCAATTCGAGTATCGGCGAGGAGCATTGCCTAATTATTTATTAATTCGGTATTTAAGTCACGTAAATTCAAAACGTATCATTCAAGTCGGAAAAGATAAATACCTTCATGCCTCTTACACAAACCCTCGTGTTACAATGAGCACAATATAGTTTACACACAGGTTTACTTCTGAAGTGGTGATGCATGCTTGGGATAGAATTATCAGTGGATTGTGTTGTCGTCGTCGGCGTCGTTATTGCATAATCATTCATATTATTTCCGATTTCGTTAACATTACTATTATAATTATCGCCACCCTCAGAAATATCATTTTCACCCAAAGAGGCACCATTCCCGGTAGGAACCATTCTGTTAAATATTAAGTCGTGTTCTCTTAAGTTTTGCTGCTGAGGTTGAAATCGTCGAGCCCATCGACTGGAAGTAAAATGTGAGGTGCTATAATTATTATTACTCGATATGGGTGGTATTGAGGCTGCTGTGGAGTCGTGTAATAACGAAAATGAGGAGTTGTAATTTGTCGACGACGCTAACGTCGATGCAGGAACTAAGGGTGCCAGTTTGACTTTTATTTTATAAACGAGTACAAAAAGTAATGTTTGTGTAGAATTTCCTTTATCCGAAATTATGGTCCTAATGCAGAATGGTTGGTTTTTTCAAGTAAAAAAAAAAAAAAGCACGCAAAGATATTTTCCTAACCTATGTGTGAAAAATACTTGAACGGGGAGTCAAAGGTGGTAAAGAAAGGGAGAAAGAATAAATGGCCAAAATACAGAAACTGGAAGCGAAAATTAATATTTTATGATAAGCGACAGGCGTATTATAATAAAGAATTTTTGGGTTTTTGTTTGTTATTTTCATTTGATCCTTACACCACCATTTATAGTTACACGACATCAAATAAAACGTGCTGCGGGGGGGGGGGGGGAAGATTGTCCGTAAATTCGGGTGTACCGTGAGTTGAATGAAAAATTTTCGATAACGATAATGCACATTGATCCTAGAAATCGTAAAGATAATGTTGTATTTATTAACACATGGAAGTACATTCGATGAAAAGCAACAACAATTAAATTTCTATATAATGTCAGACAGAGAAAGGCAAGCAGCAAGTGGGAGAAGAACACTGTCTTTGTGGAAGAAATTATTGGCGATTAGCGTTAGAATATCTAATTTGCTTAAATGCTAGTTATTTATGAGTTGCGTATTTTCTGTTCAGGGAAAAATTATGTGAAAGTCAGATGACGTTGTAGCATTTTTACTGTTTAATTTTAAAACCTGAATCATTAGCTGCAAATAGCAAAAAATACTTGATCCTGCACAGAATCATTTGATACTTTGCAAGTAAGGAGTAGAAAAATCGGTCTTTTGATTTCTTAACATCCAGGAAACGTTCTTCGAGCGAATGTTCACGTCAAATTTTCTTTTTCCAAGTCCCGAGTATTTTTGTGCCACATTAAGAAATAGAAACATCATCAAATCACGACAGACAGATGCGCATATATGCAATATTCAAGATACGTTGACAAAATATATATGCATGTGGAGAAATGCTTATGCAAATATAATCAGAAGAGTGGATGCAATTGTCTATCCGACAAAATTGTATTATAAAGTAAGTCGGTGTCCAGTGTCAGTGTCAATGAGGCTACTTATAATATATGATGTACATGTACGTACATGTATACCTTTGCGTGCGTTATCCGTCAAAAACACAATTTGATTTATTGAACTGTTCATGCGAGTTGGCTTTGAATTAATTGGGCGGAAACTTACTTTTTTTTTATATGCAGAGAAAAGCCTTGCATGTATGTTGGACATGCAGAATTGGCGACAAGTTGCATCATAAAACTATCATTTTCCTTTTTCGCATGCATACTCGGTTTAGGATCTTGATGTCGTTGGATGTTCCGTTAACCCGTTTTTTCATCACTATCTGCAAGTAATTTAATCTGCACTCGCTACGTAGTTCATAAAAGCAGCAAGTTTACACTCGTTTGCAGGCAATTTTTTTTTCTCGTAAAGATATCATCTCTATTTGTTGTCATTAGTTAAAAATTTTTTTCAGTGAGAAAAAAAAATAATTATCTCAAAGGTGAATTACAGAAAAAATGTACTGGCATTGAGTCAATAAAGCGAGAAATGATGTATTATTTTATTTATAACTCTTAAATAATATTGCATACCATTTTTACATTTCTATTGATGATAATAATAATCATCATACTACTATTACCATTTACTATTATGACTTGAAAGTTTTTAATGGGTTGTATCTTGAGTAGAATAACTAAAGATCATCGTAAATCACGATTTGGTGCATGTCCGGGTTGCAGAGAAGCACAAACAGACGATGATTGGTGCCATTATTGCGAATCACGCAAATTTGAGTTAAATTTCCCATATTGGACAAGTGGAAATGATGAAATTGATAAGATCATACGTGAATCGCAATTACGAGCAACCGGGTGGGATGATTATCTTGAATGGATTCCATATGAACATTTAAGAGGTGTACAATTTTACGCGAAAGGTGGTTATGGGATCGTCTATAAAGCATGTTTATGGAAATACACAATTAATGATGAACCTCCGCCAAATTGGTGGCGGTGGAGATTTTGCTCGGATCGATGGTGTGTTGCATTGTTAGATAATAATGCACCAGGTGCTGAATTCTTGAGTCAGGTGAGTTGTTATTTTGTGTCTTTTTAAAAAAATTTTTGCATTACATTTAATTCTGTCCCGACAATTCTTTAGATGAAACCAAGACTTAGATGTGTTGATTACGATGATGAGATATCCATCTTTGGTGTGACTCAACATCCAATTACTGGTAAATATTTATTGGTGGTTGAACCAACATATCTTCTCTTACGACGTTACCTTTATTCTCCCCGTTCCCCGTGAACCAAAAAATTCTCTATGAACTATTTCAATTCTATCTCTAATACGTTCGATCAATCTCTTTACAGTAAAATTTTGTAAACTAAACCGAGCATTTTTCTCACACTTTGTAAAAATCTCTCGCTATGTAACACCATTTCGTATTTTCTTAAGCTTTTTTTAAGCCCAGTTTCATAAATCAATTCATTTATATATTTATCACCAATAATTCCTTGTAACATAATTTTTTATTGTAATTTAATTTTTTTTAAGATTTCCATATAATGATATATGAGAAAAATATTTGATATTGTTATCAATAATCAAGTGTCTTATTAATGAAATACCGTGCAAAATGTCCCGGATCTCTTACACACTCCATGAGTAAAGTTAATTAATAAAAAAGAAGACTATTAGTGATATTTTGCATGGCGAATTACGGTATCTTTATATCTTTCGAGTCAATGGTATCAATATAAAATTTCCCGCGAGGAGTATACATAGTATGGAATAAGTCCCCAATATATAAAATACAGTATATGAAAAGCCATTATTATTCAACTCTTAATATCAATCTTAATTACCATCCCGCAATGAGCACATAAAATGCCTGACTGGACCACGTGACTATAGTTTTGTAGGGAATATTGGGTCTAACCAAAAAGAATTTCAGATATCGAGAATGGGTTTCTTATATCAATTGTATTTATTATCCATTTTTTTTAATTGGTTAAATTTTAACGAATTTACATTTAAGTCACATTCTAGAAATTTTTTGCGCATTAATGAAAATTGAAAAAGCGATACACGATCGAAAAATACGTTATCGGGTTTTTACTTTTTTGGTTAGCTTTGTATCTGATCGGTGGTTTTCAAACTTTTATACCGAGTTTTTAATTGTGTCGTCAATAAACTTAAGTATGGTTTCAGAGATTTAATTTGTTTAAAGACAAAATATATTCTTATGGATCGATCTATAATCTAAATGAAATGGAAACTCAACACAACGATCAAACAAATTGTGAGTAAGCCACAAAACACGAAACTTAAAGTTTTAGATTAATTATAAATTGCAATGCTTGAATTTTATCCTAAAAATGTGAATTTGCCGAGATTCTCTTCACATCGGCGATTATCAATATAAAAATGGAAGATAATTTAAAATTATTTGTTTCCACAATAGGTATTTATTATTGTGCGCGTAAACACCGTGTTCATAGGAGATAATAAGAAAAAATTTACTTCCCAGCGTAATATGACCGTTCACTAAATCGTCATATACAATTTGTGTTCCATTATTGTTCACCGTCCTCAACACACGTTATTAGGTAATCGAAAATTTGAGAATCGAAAGTTATGGATTTGGTGTCCACTTTTAAAAATAAAAATTCTTATTTAAAGGGTCGTTGATCGAACAATTTTTTAATCTTCGTGATTCTCGATTTAATTTAATCTTCTAAACAACGATTCTTTATTACGAACACGACGAAATGTCTTTCATAAATATTGATAATAAAAAGCCTGTTCTTCAAAAAACAAGTAAAGTTATTGCGGTCATCGATTCTTATTATCAATATTGGAAGGAAGTCTTCATTGCGAAGTCATATCCTGTCGTACTTGATTTTGGTATTTACCTTCCTATTTTGTTGCTCGCGTGACATACAACCGAACTTTCAACAATCAGCTTGTATTTTCTATGAGTCTCTCCTCATTTTTTCGCGTATTTCTTTACCAAAATTTTAGCGCAAAACACTTTGTTGGGATTAATGACGAAAATCGACAGTGGTCATCTTCGCGTGTTAACCAAAAACCGTATTTATGAATTTGGTCCAAAAGATGCAAAAGATCGGGCAGAAATCAAGATCGTTAACGATTCTTTTTGGATCCGCTTGCTTTTGTTTAGCGATTTGGTAGGTCAAAAAATTTATAAATCATGTGATTATATAGATCATGTGATAATAGATATTGCATTTAAGGGTTTTGCCGAAGCATATATGCTAGGAGATGTAACCTGCGACAATTTATTAAATTTGATTAAGGTATGAAACAAGGGAGAAGGTTATGCATAAGCAATTTCCCACAATCAATTTTTTAAAGGGATATGTATCTACATGTATACATATATTTTTCATTTACTAGATTTTTGTAGCCAATCGATCCCATATTGATGAGCTAACCACCGGACCAACATACATCTTCAATGCAATAAATTATTTTATGAATACTCAATTTGTAAATTCTGTTTCCAATGCCATCAACAATATATCCGCACATTATGACATTTCTAATGAGATGTTTGCCAGTTTTCTAAGTCGTGACATGACATATTCGAGTGCTTTCTTTATGAATGAAGACGAAACTTTGGAGCAGGCACAATACAATAAATTGAGAAAAATAATTAAAAAAGCAAAGATTACGGAGGATGATCATGTTCTAGAAATCGGAAGTGGCTGGGGATCTTTTGCTATTGAGGTACGACGCAACAAATTCGTTAGAATCTACTTTTTTAGTTTGATTAAATCTCTAATCAAAAAAAAATGTACAGGCTGTGAGGATGACTGGATGTCGAGTCACGACACTGACACTTTCGATTGAACAAAAGAGGCTTGCTCAAAAACGAATAGAAGCTGCCGGATTTTCGGATAGAATCAAAATTTTACTATGCGATTATCGAAACCTGCCAGCTAAGCATCAATTCGATAAAATTGTGAGCATCGAAATGATTGAGGCGGTTGGACCACAATATCTTGCCACATATTTTGAATGCTGTGATAAATTCCTTAAAGAAAGAGGTGGAATCGGTGTGTTTCAGGTGATTACTATGCCAGAAACCAGGTACGATCGGTATTGTCGCGAAGTTGATTTTATACGGAAATATATCTTTCCAGGTACATCTAATTTTTTTTTTAGGGTAAGATGATGAATGATGCTCTTTACTAATTAATAAAAATAAAAACAAAAAACAGGTGGCCATTGTCCGACTGTCACATCACTGGTCGCTGCAATTCGTGAAGGCTCACGTGGAAGACTAATCGTCGATAACATCGAAAACATTGGACCACATTACGCACGCACGCTACGATTATGGCGTGAACAATTTATAAACGTGTTTGACGAGGATATCCGACCGGCTTTGCACAAGGGCTGGCCCGACATGTCGATGAAGGATATTGAAATCTTTAAGAGGAAATGGGAATTTTATTTCTCTTATTGTGAAGGCGGATTTAAGAATCGCATCTTGGGAAATGTTCAAGTAGTGGTTACTCGGGAAGGAAATGAGACATTTTTGGATGGGATTCCGATGTGATTAATTGTTTATTATAGAATACATTTGTACATAAGAGTTAAAAAATTCCGATTCGAATATCTCTCAATGCACTCAATAATAAAATGATGCATATCTGGTAAGGTCTCTATGCAAAGGCAATCTCAATTAATTGCGATCATTACTCGCAACAATGACGGGATGTTATTCGATATTGATATGGAATAAAAACAATAAACCTCGATTCGCACGTTTTTTCTTTATTAATATAGCAATGTCTTTCATTAATTAATACATGAATTAATTAATATCTATGATCCGATTAACATGAGAGTTAATATATGTGATCCAATTAGCACTCATGTCTGTGATTTGCATACTATTATCCCTAACGTCGAATTCTCGCGCGTCATTCGTTTCTCGACAGTATAGATCTCAACAGTCACGAAAGCCGCATCATTCTGACATGACCTCAATTAGGCATCTCGCATAAGATCGGATAGCGAAATGATTATCTCCCGCACCTCCCATCCAACAACTTTGACGCATAATCTTCACTCATTTCCCAACTACCCAAGCCAACGAATGATTCTTTAAATAGAAAGATTCGTAAAAAACACTTTTTCGAAGAGAACCAGCTCTTCGATTAAGACGATAGGCAATATTTATGTGATAAAACAAAGAGAAAAAGAGTCGGGGGGTAAATTTTTTGATATTAAAGTCACAGATTTTATTAAAAGGTAAAAATCCGGTCAAAAAAATTATTAATTAAAGGTCGCCCCCCGGTCAATAATAACTAATGTAGTATATGAATGAGTGAATATGCAAATTAGATTAGGGATTCTTATATACAATTAATGAAATCTATATGTTAAAGTATTACGGTAGGTTATGAATATCTCTATTTTTTTTTTAAGAAACAAAATTATGCAAGCGTGTAATCTTAAACGCGATATATTAATGTTTGCAGACCGAGAAAAAATTTGTGCGTGATAGAATATACTGATGAACAAACAATAACAAGCGAAAAAAAACCCTGAAGAGAGAAAACTAAACTTGTGAAAAAAATACAAATCTATACTTATTAATTTTTGTGAGATAATACTCTCCATCACGACCCAAAGTATTTTTGTTGTCTTTTAATACAACAACGAATGACATTCTGCTACCATGTATGAACGGTCGGCCAACGCTGAACCGCAGGCGGCAGCATAGGTGATAAGTGTCAGACTCAGAAAGACAACCGCATGGAATATTGCTTGCTCCCAGCTTCCAAGGATATAATTTGAAGTGGTGATATCATTTTGATAATTTTTGATGGAAAAAGTGGTTTGGATTGATGAAATCATTTTTTTTATATCTCGAGAGAATATATGGACTATTTACGCTTGTGTGACTCTGTCTCGTGTTTTGTTTCAAGTTGAGGAGAGAAGAAAAAAAAATTAGAGTGAACGGCTAGTATTTTTTTGAGATTGTGAAGGAAGGAAGGAAGATAGGAAGGTAGAGAAGGTAGAGAAGGATATAGGAAGACTAAAGAGAGAGGTGGTGTGTTGTTTGTGAAGAAAGGAAGAGGGGCGACCAGCGACTAATAATTTTTAGGTTTTTATTGTTATTGAGTTCTCGAAAATTTATCGAAAGAGCCAACGATAAGTGTTTTAAGTAACTGCTTTTATATAACGATACTCATTCTAATTTGTGTTCACGTCCATATGGAGAGTTTATGACATACACACACGCACAGATGTTTAATTTAGCAACACAAAAAGTATTGTGGCATGTAAGTATATTAATTATATATATATATATGTTTTCTATTGATAATGGTGAAACGAGCAAATCGGTCGAGCTAACTGACTATTTGGGAAAGGAAGGTGAAACAAGAGCCGAATTCGCCCAGAGTATGATTCTTGGTATTTGTCCATGAACAATAGGGCGAATTTTCTTGGGCTTTAAATTATGAAGTTGTTTTATATTGAAGAGAACGTAACGATGTCCCATGCTTTATTATTGAAAAAAATAATTTTTTTATTGCGTGCGCTGCTTGCTTTATTATTCACTGAATCTCACTTTTTTTCGCTGATCTTACGTTTTTCTATGGATCTTTCGAATGGCTAAACATGCAATGTACGTAATGTCCTTTGATTGCTATAAACAATAAAGAAACCTTGGCATCATACTTGTCCAACGTTGTAAACGATTATTTGCATGTATTTAATTAATTATTAATTTATTGAAGCGAAAAATTTGCCATGTTTATTGTATCACAAATTTCGATAAGTTTTTTTAGCAAACTTACAAGTGAGCAGCAACGTTGTCATTAATTAATATTAATGCAAAGAATAATTAGTTAATTAGATGACGAAGAAGATATTCCAATACTATCAAAGATGTAATAATTAAAAATGCACATTACTTGATGACAAGGTGTTTAAATTAATCATGATGTATTCAAAAGTATCGATCACGGCAATTTTCTTCCTCCATTTTAGTTTTTTTTTTTTAATTTAACTTAAAAAAAAAGCAAACTATTACTTTTTACGTGATTTATTTGATTTTAGATTTGTAAAATATTTTGATTTTAAAACTTTCTCGGTCGGATTATAATTTTTTGTCCAAAAACAAATACAGAATTTCAAGTGAGTGGACAAATAGATTTGGTTATGAAAGGGTGAAACTCTCTTAATCATTAGTAGCTTATTAAGGAATTCCAAAGTCCAACTGACGTATATATTAATTAATTTGGTTAAAAAAACCGTAAGTGCTAATAAAGGTTCCGAAAATGACTGTACTTTATATTGAAAACTTTTCCCGCTTGTATGCTACGTAAAATTATTCTGTTTAATGAATTACAAGTTATGTCGTGAATATACGTATGAGTTCGGTCATAATGAAGTTTTCGAGACATGACAAAATATGTAGATTCATCGGCTCTAAAAAAAATAAAACTTTCGTTGTAAATTGCAATTTCATCAAAGCGTTCTTTGAATTTTATTCGCGTCTCGATGTTGTAGTACTAAATATGTAATATTAATTAGTGCAACTGTATTTTCTTTTTTGATCAAAGCATGCGTGCGTGCCTTTTCTCCACTCGAGTTTCATTATTAACATAAAAACATTAACTCGATCTTTTTTGTGTTCTATCATCCGATCATTCATTGAAGTTTTGCCTTCGAGCAACGTCACGTCATCATTTATTTATGCTCCTTGAAACTATTATCTTCTACTTTACTTATCTTTACTTTGTCAATCGTACAGAAAAGACGGTAATTGATCAATTTCGGTCTAACAGTTTATGAATTTTTTTTGTTCTTGATGAAAAGAAATCCCGTCGCGAATTCCTTTGTCGATTGCATAATAATGTGTGTGTGTGTGTTTTTTTTTGAAACCACGGCCTTACTTTCTTTCGGTGACAATATTGAAATAAGAGATCGAAAAAGTCACGAAACTCTTTTGAACGATACACAATGTTACATGCATATAGAGAACAAGATATTAGACATATTTTTGCACTTGTAGAACTACAGATCAAACTTGTGGAAGCTCCTTATTGCCAATAGGAACTTTCTCTGTGCACGAACGCGAGAATATTCGGTATGATTTTATCAGAAAATATCATATTGAAATCATATTTTAAATTTGGTTACTTTCATTTCATACTACACGTTACATGTATACATTTTTTGCCGAAATTAATTTCGATTTGTGAAAGGAGCAAAAAGGACTGCCGCTGATCGAAAATGCAAACAATAACAAATGATTATTGTTCCGCACCTTGAACATTGTTTTGTTTAGTGTTTGTTTCTGGCATAAAATATGACAAATAAAAATAAACTGAAATTTTAACTTTTGTTTTGTTTGACTTAAATTTATTTCTTGTTTGTGTTGTAATGGAAATAATCGCTGGAGAAATCGAGAAAAATCAGATTATATTCATTATGTACGAGTATGCATCAACAGCATGTACTTACGGAAAGCAAAAATACCATATCGATACACACCTAAATTGTTTTAAATATAGGCTTGGTTGGTTTGTAACTAAAAAAAGGGGAAAACGTTTTACTTTTTTTTGTTAGTATGAATGTTTCCCTAAGGAATAATAAACTCATAATAAAGGGCAATTAATTAATTGAAGGGGGCAATAGACAAACAGTATACAATAGAACTTCACCGGGGTAAGTAAGGTGTGACAGAACAGACAGACAAACACACGAGGGATAATTTTGGATCGAAACTCTTGGCTATAAAAACCACCCAGAAAACGTAATGCTTGAATTTTACCACTTCATCCTTTGAGCAAAAGTTAGCCATTTTTTTTTACCGCATTATCATTCATTATCATCAAATTTGCATACACATAAGCATTTATTATTTCTCAAAAACCTAAGATTATACATATAACAAAAAAAAATGCATCGGTTTAACTGTTTTCTCGGAATCGCGGCGTGTCTCTTTTTGACCGCAAGTATCAATAATAACATGATGGCATACGCTCAGGAATGTGGTGCTCAGACAGGTGGAAGTAAGTAACCGCCTCATGATATTATCAAGTTCTAGAAAGAAAAAGAAATTTGGATTCTAAAATCTTGTTTCTGTCTTTAAAGTGTGCAACAAAGATGCCGGTCAATGCTGTTCACAATGGGGGTGAGTAACATCTTGGCGAATTAGCGTTTCTTGTATCACATGAACACACACGTGATAGATAGTATTATAAGAAACGCGAACAATATTAATCAATATATTTGTCTTCCAATTTTTTAGTCATTGCGGTTATGGTCCCCAATGGTGTGGAGCTGGGTAAATAATTATCCTTATTTATGCTCTTTTTATCTCTTCAACGTTTAATTAATTGAATCATGATGCCAGATGTCAGCCAGCATACGGTGCATGTTCACTTTCACAAAGCGAGAGCAACAATCTAAAAAAAAGAGATCATGTCGATAATTCCTACATATCGACGAAAAAGACGCATCAACATTATTATCATGGGAAAAAAACAAAAGATCCCAATAAAAAGAATCAGAAATCAAAAAAGAATCCGAAACTACTAATGAAAACAAAAACAAAATCTGTTTCCTACATTGATGTTTCAGGTGGTTGTGGATCGAATAATGGAGGGGAAAAGTGTGCTAGTGGTTATTGCTGCTCGCAATATGGATATTGCGGAAAGGGTACAGGTAATTAATGCATGCGCTATGTAATTTGATTTAAAAAAAATGTCTCATTATTAATATTTATTCTTTTTTCTCAATAAAGCGTATTGTGACCAAGGATGTCAGTCTGATTACGGAGACTGTAGAGCAATTACAAGTAGCCTTGCGTCAACAACTACAAGCTCAGCAGTTACATACACTTCAGCGTCAACAACCACAAGTTCAGCAGCTACATACACTTCAGCGTCAACAACCACAAATTCAGCAGCTACATACACTTCAGCGTCAACAACTACAAGTTCAGCAACTACATCCACATGTAACCCGCCAACTTCTCCATCTGTCGTTGCCGTAACTTATCGAACTTGTATCAAATCAAATAGTTATGCGGTAAGAATTGTTCTTTTCTCGATCATTCTGAAAAAAATCAAATACTAATATATTATTTTATTTCCCATTCAAATAGCTTACATTTGACGATGGACCAATGATGGTGAGTTTTTTTTTACCTGTTCGAGCATGTACATCACATACTAATTGACGTTTTATATATCAGTGGACACATGAACTTCTCGACACGCTAAAAGCGAAAAATATAACGGCAACATTCTTTGTAAACGGTCACAATTGGGGCTGTATCTATGACTATGCCGATATTCTTCAACGAATTCTCTACGAAGGTCATCAAATCGGCTCACACACCTGGTCACACCCATCAATGCCAAACATCACCAACGAGGAAATCACCTACCAAATGCACACGCTTGAAAACGCTCTTCGAAAAATTATAGGTCACATACCACGATTCATGCGACCACCGTATGGTAACCAAGATGAACGCGTGCTAAGTCATTTGGGTTCATTAGGATATGAGCACATTATCATTTGGGATGTTGATCCCGGCGATTCAACTGGAAGTACCGTAGAAGTTTCCCAAGAAATTATAAATAATGCACTCGCTACAAGTCCAGCACCTACACCACACATTGTTATCAATCACGATGTGAAACAAAACACCTCGGAAATTCTGGCCCCTTGGGAGATGGATACGCTCGTAGAGGCTGGTTATGATTTGATGACCGTGGGTGAATGTTTGGGAATTGATAGGTCCCAGTGGTATAAAGAGGTCACAATACCTAGTCTAAGAGATGACACTTGGTATTGTACATTTGAAGATATGCATCGTGATGATGGTGGTTTTTCGTAAATTGGACCTTTATATAAATTATGTAATTCGTTATTTAAAAGTGGGTGGGTGCTAAATAGATTAGGGGTGTTATTAGAATTTTATTATTGTTTTTTGTAATTTTTCTTAGTAATTTCCTATGTGAACCAACATCAAGGCAACTCTAGAAAATAATAAAAGCCTCAATATAATAAATTATATCGTGAGGTATCTCAATTCATTAATGTTCAATTTAAATTTTGCATATGAAATTAAATAAATATCACAATAGTTGCAAATGTTTAGCATTTCGAGTCTGGACTCTGTGTCTTGATCTTTGGAGGTAAAAAGACTCTTCGCCATTACTTTCGTGGCTGCATCTGAAGGAATCCTTAAAATTAACAGAATACCTTAAATTTTTTATTAAAACAAGAATAATAGATTCACCACGATAAAACAAATTTATACTAATAAAGCCTGACTGTATTCTCAGAATACTAAAAAGGTTTTAAATTGGCCCTTTGGAAAATTCAAGGAACAAAGTTTTCTTGCTGAACCTTCCATTCGATTCTCAGTTGAAACGTTCGAACAATATATCATGAAAAGCGTAACGCGCCAAAACAAACTAATTAAAATAATACAATAATTATTAACCTTTCGAAAGTCTTTAATCCTCTCTGACAAAAAACCTTGACGCGACAATAACTTTCGAAAGTTTCGAAAATTTGAACCAATGAATGGTAGCATTACGAAACAGAAAAATTTAAAGGATCGGATTCATGTGACGCTGGTTTCAATCATAGATGTATTTATGATTTATGCGATGCGTAAAATGCAGTTAATTACCAAAGATGAAGCGGTGCATTTTTAATGGTAAGGCGGCTTCTTTGTCAACTAGCAATTCCTTTTTTTTTTTTAAGTATCTCGGAGATCGAATTATTTTCTGTCAGAGGCGCAATTACGTGGCGCAGATGACCCTGCATTGTCAAGATAATACAAGAATGTAGAGGAAATAAACAAGATATTTTTTTGTTTTACTGAATTTATAGTTTATAATGCAGTCTTAGGTTTCTGCTCTTTAAAATTGCATAAATAAATACATAAATTCTGATTAATTACGTAATGAAATACCCAATAGTTAATCTCTCCACGATACATAAACTTCATCAGTTCTAAATCTTTGAGTACAGAAGGACTCTTCCAACTTCGTGGTAAATCCAGTTCTAAAAGCCAATAAACCTGCATGCGCAATCATAATCCCATTATCAATACAAAATCGTTCATCGGTGGCAAAAACTTTTCCACCACGTTGTCCAACCATCTGCATCATCATCTCTTGCAGCCTCAAATTGCATCCAACGCCACCTACGATCAATACCTCCTTACTCCCAATATGGGCCATCGCGCGTTCAGTGGTCTCAACTAACATTGCAAATATCGTCTCTTGTAACGAGAAGCATAGGTCTTCGGGGGTGCATTCACCACTCGCGAGTTGATCTTGGGCAATCATTTCGATGTAAGACAATATCCCCGAAAATGACACGTCCATTCCTTTTACAGTGTATGGAAGTTCGATGAACGTTTTGCCGGATTTCGCCGCTTGTTCGATATTATATCCTGGACTAGGATCGTTCGATAAATTTAACACTCTAGCGAATCGATCCAAGCAATTGCCAACTGCAATGTCCAAGGTTTCCCCAAAGATCCGGTACCGTTTTTCAGCATAGGCAATCACCTGAGTATTCCCACCACTCACATACAGCACCACAGGATTCTCGGCACCAGTAATCTCTCGTCCCATCTCAATGTGTCCGATACAATGATTTACACCAACCAACGGTTTATCCCATAACAATGACAAAGTCCTGGCAACAATAGCCACGGATGCTAAAGGTGCGCCCATCCCAGGTCCTTTAGTGAAACAAATTACATTAATATCCTTGATTGTTATTCTCGCTTCTCTAAGGGCATTTTCAAGAACGGGTAAAACATGTTCTCGATGATGTGCCGCTGTGTCTCTTGGAAGAAACCCGGTGCCTGGAGGTGTGATATGTGTGTGTCGAATATTGGATAATATTTCCACTTTTCCGGTTACATCATCATGCGCTACTATCCCAATACCAAGTTTATTTGCCGAACCTTCTAAACCAATTGCTATGTGTCTCATTTTTTTTATGTAGATCCAAAAGATTTGTCAGATTAGGGAATCTGTATCGGTATGATGATGATGATGATGGATTTAACCTTCATGATCTACCGCATAACATTCCGGAACGAGGTTAACTTAGGTCCGGGAATCATGCAACATTGTTTGGTCTATGAGAGAATGTCAAAAAAATCCAATTTACCAAAAAAGCGAAAAAAATAAGATTCATTCGGAGCCAGTAGCGGTAGTTGGAATAAGTTGATTGATAAATAACATTTGATTATAATTGTTGATTTACCAAAAATACTTTGTTTTCTATTTTTAACGAAAAAAGTAATTTTTCAAATCAAACGCACGCTCACACGCAATCTTATACACTTTACCCTCTCTGTGTGTGTTGTGCGCGTGTGTACAGATGTATGCAGCAGATACGAAAAAGGGGAATGATTATTGTTTTATTGCATCGCTTAGAAATCAGCCAATCGAATCATTTTAATATGGTTAAAAGGGAGGGGAGTGTATCGCTATTATTATAATCACTATTATTTGTTTTTTGTGTACAGACTGATACATGTATTTCTCGCGAAAGGTGAGTGAGTATATGCGTTTTTTTATATGATGATGATGAGGGACCATATGTATGATTATGAAATTATATGTAAGCAATCAATGAGCGGTATAATATAACTGAGAATGATTGAATGATAGAACGGAAAAAAAAGTCTGTGTTCACTCTAATTGCCTATTCCACCTTTCAATGACAAAAAAAGAAATCCACAAATAAAAAAAAACTAGAATTCTTTGTGTGTTTGTATGTGTGTGGCTCCTTCCTTTGTTCAATGGGATAGAGCAACATCAAGGATTACCAATTATGGTTTGTTGAACTATAACGAGTCGGTCATTCACTCCGGAAAACAAAAAAATTAGCCAACGGTTTTTCTTTACCTGAAATGAACAAGTTTTTCGGCGTTTTTGTATTCATGTTTCACTGCACTTTTTTTTTCCAAGAGTATTATGATTATGATGATTATGATGATTATTATTATTATGATTGTTGTTATTTTTTATTATTATTATTATTATTATTATTATTATTATTATTATTATTATTATTATTATTATTATTATTTATTATTTATTATTATTATTATTCTGTTACATTAATGCTCATATATTATGAGTAAAGTAATTTCAATGAATACCCACATTTGGGTATTGTCTTATAAAAATCCTACGTCCTTTTCCGTCAATTTTTTGTTCAACCCTAACCCTCAAATTGTTGCCTCATCAGAAAAAAGTCGCCTCAATAATATCATCACTTAACCTATCTTATCCTATTCAATCTCAAATTGAATTAATTGAAAATAGAACTAATTGATATAAACTATTACAGAGAATTTACTGCGCATTTAAACTTTTGGGAAAACGGAAAGGAAGTTCAATCGATATCTAGCACACTGTTTATCTGCCAATATTTGGATAAAAGAGCGAGGAACCAACCAACCATTCATTCATTATCAGGCACACAAAACACGCGTAAACACACACAGACACACACGCACAAACATCCTTCTACATAATCATCAAAGACCTTGAACACCTCCCAACCCAAAGGGAAAGATAACGAGAAAAACAAAACAGGTACCTTTTTAATTTTTAGAGTTTCTTCTTCATGGACGTATTTGGAAACTGCTCCAGTTTGTTTGCTACTCCGTTTGGAATTCTCCGGTGAGACTGTCACCACCAAACCTAGTTAAAGAAAAAAAAACCAACACGCATACATACATATCTAGCAACATTAGTATTTCACCACCTCTTTGTTAACCGTCCGTCTTCCCTGCTAACATTATCTAATCTTACTCACCATACTATTTCTTCTTTCGTATAATTACATTTACCCTTTACGATTACAACAATACCTCATATTGTTGTTGTACCTTCCTTAAAAACTTGTCTTCCCACATTGTCATTTTACTTTACCGCCACATTACCAACCGTCAATAAAAACATCGACACACTTTTTAACGGACATGTAGATAAGATAAAACAAAAATAAACAAACATGAGCAATCTATCAACCCCTCAACGAAAACAAAGTAATGCAGGTGGCCACCAAGGTGAACTACCCGAAAATGTTTCCTCACGAGGTGCTAAACGTGAACATGAAGACGACGACTCGGAAGGTGATGAGGATGAGACAAAATCAGAAAAGCGTGCTGGCCGTCGTAAAATTAAAATTGAATATATTGATGACAAGAGCAGACGCCATATCACTTTTAGTAAGCGAAAAGCTGGTATAATGAAGAAGGTTAGAAAGCCGAAAGATCTACATGAATCACTTCTATTACTGATATTTATAGATGATAATGGGGGAGGTTTTACTAAATATATGCCGTATGATATATTAGGCATATGAATTAAGCACGTTGACAGGCACTCAAGTTCTTCTCTTGGTCGTGTCTGAAACCGGATTGGTGTACACTTTTACCACTCCGAAACTTCAGCCTCTGGTCACCAAGCCTGAAGGTAAAAATCTGATTCAGACGTGTTTAAATGCTCCTGACAATCCATCAACCACCGATACCGCACCAACACCGGTAAGATCAAGGGTATTTTTTGAGGTTCCTTCATGCAATCTTTCCTTGCAGATTTACTAATCACCATGTATATGTAATAATCTTATTTATAATATACACACACACACACACACACAAAATATAAAATAGACGAGACAAGCTCAAACGCCTCCAGTATATGGAAACGATAGTTCTTCACCACTCGAGAGCAGTGCTGATAATATATACGACAATGAACGGAAGGTATAAAATCCTAATCCAGTTATTATGCATTAAATTATACCGCCACATGTGATTTTAGGTAAGCATCTGATCATCAAACTTGGGATTTTTTTATTTGATGCCACACAATATGTAGCATCCATCAACAAGTGGTCAACTTGCCAACACCCCGACCCACAACTATGCTACCGCTCAACAACAAGCCGTCACCGCCCAACAACAGCAACTCAACATGGGATACACGAATCAATATCCAAGTCTCACCGGAAATTTACCGATGAATACTGGACTTCCGAACAATTACATGCCACCGCAATATCAACCACAGCACAATCAACAGTACCTTGGTCAGTATTCTCAAAATGCATCGTACATGCAATCCAATTACTGGAATCCAAATGGAGGCAACGGAAGCGGAAAAGTTCAGCAATTCCCGAATCAATCGCCAGAAAAGAAATAAACAAGAATAAACAAGAATCAAAAGACGAAACGAAACGGAAGAACACAAATGAAGAAGAATTAATAATATACTGAAACTTTATTTTTTTTTTATTTTCTTTTTTCGCCTTTTTGGTTATTTATATATATACATATATTGTAGGATGACAGGCAGGCAGGCAGGTTGATGTTCTGATGGCGATCGGCAACCTTTTTTTTGTACCATTTTTTTTTTCTTTAACTCGTCTTCTTTACAAATTCATCGATCGAGGAAATCTTTCTAGATCAATGAATTTACTTGTAGTTATAATTTTTCAACCCCTTCCCTTTATTTTTGTTTCTTTTTATTTGTTGCTTTTTTTTTGTATCAATTTTTTATATATTTGCCGCGCGCGTCGACTCATTGTCCCTGAAATTTACTTCGAGAATTCTGCCAAGGTTATGATTAGTAGAGAATTAGTCTTAGCGTTAGTTATGGTCGTTTACTTGATAGTTTTTTATGTTTATATATATATATTTGTATAGAGAAAGAAGCACAGATACACGCTGTATATAAAAGATGCAGATTAGAGGTTCTCGCGTGGGTGGTGAAACGTCTTTCAGATTTGTTTGACGAAAAGCCGTTCGTTGATCATCGTGAAGAAAAACAGATAGCGATAAAAATTGGATTTGTGGTATTCTTCTTATTATTATTATTATAATTATTATTAGTGGTAGTGTGTTGATGGTGTGTAGAAGTCAAAAATAAAATATATATACTTTGTACAAGAAATCGGCTGTATTTTGATTTATTTGGTTGATAATGTTAGTATTTTGATGCATCTGCAGACAAATTAATTTTGATTTGTTGCCCAATCATCGGGAGATTTAATCGCTTAATTAAATTAGAATGGAAGGTCAATTAAACTCTCGGTTCAACATATAAAGTCTACTCAGTTTTTAATGAAGTTTTTTTTCTTAAAATGTATCATATATTTGCCTCAAAGAATTGAAAGACCGCATCTTATTAAATAAAATTAACAGAAACATGTAATACGTTAAAGAACTCATTGATTCAGTCATAAACACTTCAGCACGCGAATTTAGATCACGTAAATTTTTTGAAACCCTTTTTATAGCACGTGAATCATTTTCTTGATGGCCAAGTTTGTCAAAAATGATGTTGTAAAAAAAAAAGAGGAAACATACAAATTTAGATTTATTGTTCGATTTCTATATTAATTTGGTAAACACATGGAAAAACAAAAGATTCTATAATATGATTATAACAATACTAATAAATGTTGATTATTTAGTTGAATCCTGTAATCTCCTAATAGTGGACTACATAGAATCGGGAATCAGGTATCCGTTTCCACAAATCTAACAATGCTTGCCAACTCAAATATTCTGGAGTCCCGGGTGGAAAAACACGGCAAATAGCAGCACCCAATTTAGCGCGTATCATGACCCTTTCCTCATCCGTAACCCAATCACCATTCTCTATTCGTAGCACAACTGTCGCGGCCTCAATGATAAGATTATGTTTCGGATACCCGTAGTAGAAAACTTCCAGATCGTTCAACGAAGGAAGACTGTATAACACGTGTCGATTGACTGGAACTGCAACTGAGGATGGATTGTGATATCTATTTCGTTGTCGTGAGAATCGTCGTTGAATTTGTTGCCGTCTATTGACGTGGTTATTATTGTTAAAGTTAATATTTTGATTAAGTTGATTTTTGAAGAATCTTGAACTTCTCGGTGTTGAAGGTGGGTTCGTTGTTGCAATCTTTTTCTCAGCATAGTGATAACTACTGCCACTATCAAGTCGTTTAGATTTGATATTGCCTTTCCTTGTTCCTTTTCCTTTGCCTCTTTTTATACTCTTCCTTCCCTTCTTTAGCCCATTACTATTACCACCTGCTTCCCCGCTTCCTCCGAGAGGGATATATTGAGTCGAATTATTATTAGGGATCGGTGCTGAAGACAGTGGAAACGTCGTGGACGAGGAGTCGAAAACCTTTGTTGTTCGACGAAGCTTCTTGATGCTACGAAGTAGTCTTGACAACTTTGATTTATCACTTGTTGGCCACATATTCGTTTTCATTGTTAGATTGGCGATTATTGACTGAGATTGTAAAAAATTATAAAGATGAGAAGTAAAGCTGACGAAAATTTATATGCGTTTAAAATGGCAAAGAAGTCTTTTATTATCCAGTTGAGTTGGGAACTCTCATATACACCAAAACAATAAAAAGATACCGTTCAAGTTCAACTTTATATATCGTGTCAATTGTACGTTAATTTCTTGATGAAAATGCTATAAAAGGACCTATTTTGTTATTTTTGTTTCAGATAACTTATTCTCGGTTATTTTTAATAAAAATAGTTACATGAGAAACATAAATGATGGATCATTTCCGAAGCTATTAATTTCTGATCGATAAAAATCGCAGGTTAAACCGGAAAAAATTAGAGAAAAACTTTAATTAATGAAAGATGAGAATGAAATGACACGGAGCCATAAGAACATGTATTAGTCTAAGATCGATTCGCCCAACTCGGGACGCCAAGAATTTCTGACACATTCGATTGTTTTTTTGTAACAATACAATTTCAAGCTAAAGAACGTTTGTAACTTTATCTTGCTCTTTAGACAAAGAAAAAGATAAAAAAAGATTTATTATAGAAAAACCTTAGTAAGACATCTTTTGCCGCAATATTTGTTTGTCATCATCTAAGAAGAAACCAAGTTCATAATTTATTCAAGAATAATTGCCGCTACACGCGCAGACAGGTTAGCAAACAGTCGACGGAATCATCATGTATAAATGTTTATTAATTGTTGATTTCTACCCGCCTAATTAAGCAAGTAATAAACATCTCTATTTTCTTGCCAATTTGGTATATTTGTATTCTTTGTTGTTTCACTTGTTTTTTGTTATTTGCTTATTTCCTCTTTGGATTCGTTTTGCTAACGAATTTGATACACGGTAATAGATCAATCCACTATATGGGGATTTTAATATATATAGTATATTTATGATATATACAGTATATATACATTCTTCTTTCTATAATCGAATATGACGTCAAGGTTTAATGACAAACTGAAGAAAGGAAAAATATATGTGCGATATGTGAATGCAAGCACTCGCCCCATTTGTTTGTAAGTCGTCTAATTACGCTACTTTATTTTTTCAAGAAAGTTGGTCTATATATAGCGCAAGGGTGTGAGTGAATCAAGTATTTTTGCGTAATAATTACGAGAAGAGACCTTACCCAAAAATAATGACAAGAAAATGGTCAATCAATGACATCGCTTCATGAAATGACTTCCTCATTTATCTCTTTACCTTCAAAGCGGTTCTATTTTTATAAAAATAAAATTTCTCATGCAAAAAAAATTCGTGCAGAAATCCTCAAATCGCATCGATATGTAATGGCCATTTTATTGCCTGCACATGAATTTTTGATATCTCAGAAAAGGAATCTCATGTTTAGTCAGCCATTCACAGTATTTACATGTAGTATGAATTACTAGATTAACAATACAATAAATCGTTATTTATCACCAAATTTAACGAAAACAAAATTCAAAGTTCAACTCCACAACTATCCCGTCTTTACATAGAATCCTTCTTCGCCAGCTTGAAATTTACGCAGGAAAAATTGTTAAAGTTAAATATGCTATCTGTAATAGTGTACGTAATCGTAACAAATAATAAGTAACACGAAGAAAGAATCGGAATATTATTTAAATAAGCATTTCATTTAGGCTTTCTAATTTATCGAATATTTACTTTGTTATCATCGTTCGCTTTCTAATTTATCGAATATTACTTTGTTATCATCGTTCGTTCATATGCAATAATTCATTACCATCGTGTGTGTGTGTGTGTGTGTGTGTTTTTTGACTCTGTTTCAACGTGTGACTCGTGTATTATTGATATTCATAGGCCAATCTAACAGGAAATCTCTCAATGATATATTGGGAAAACAAACCATAAAATGTTTCCTATAAAAAAACAAACGATTGATTCGCTCGCCAATCCACTTTACTAACTGTTACATATTTATCTCTATTTATGATATTTAATTATTTATTTTAATCTTTTCGTCTTTTGTTTCGTTGTTTGTCGTTGTTTTCATTATTATTTATCTCTTTATTTTTACCGTTCTTTCTCTGTCTTTTCGCTACCTGCTTTCTTTGCTCTGCTCTTCCACGAAGCAAAATGGAAAAGTGGCCTACAACAGATAATAAACAGAGATTCTCCGTGAGACAATTCTCAGTGAGACAAAGCTTACAAAATTTGCGTAGACGCACTGGAATGTTCAATTCAACATCCGCTTTCTCCTCGAGATCTTCCTTGTCTTCTTCCTCCTTATCTTCCTCCTCCTTTTCTAATTCTAATCCAAAAACCCCATCGAAAAAGAAAGAGATCCCATCTTTTAAACCAACAAACACAACCATCTCCTCCACCTTCTCTCCTAATAAAAACAACGGCAAGATCAATAACAGCGGTGACTTAAAGAATAACATAAAGAATAACAGCGGCGACATAAAAAATAGCAGCAACGTGAAGAATAACTGTTACAGAAAGAATAACAATAAAAATTCATTTATATCACATCATAAACATAGCGAAAGTTTCCAAAGTTTTAACACGACAAGTACATCAAGTAGCATTTACAGCACAATCAGCACAAACGCATCAATAATATCTTCAAAATCAAGTAAAACGAATGCATTACGTTACGAATCTCGCAACTTGCCAAGTCTCGAAGATTTAAAGCTTTTCTATCATGGATATCCAAAGCAAAAATTAATAATTGAGGCTGCTACAGTTCTACTGCGAATTGAGCATGGCGAATGGGTGAGTGATGTGGAAAGATACTTGATTCGTGCAACCCTCGCAGCGGAGATTCGACGATATTGCGAGCCTGGAAGTTTGGAGTTTTTAACATGGCAGGTGTTGGTGGATCTTTGGAATAGAATTCCTGTATAATATACAACAAAAACGAACATTACTTACCCCGTGAATCATTTTGCATGAGATTGTAATTTTGGGGTGTGTGAATTTATGGACTTTATGTATTATGTATTATTATTTTTATTATTTAGAATTATCGAATTCATCATTTATTTTGATGCGTTCGATTGTAATTTATAATTTTTTAGTAGATTTATAGTATTTTTATAATTAATTAATTAATTAATAGTAATTCAGGCGAAACAAAAGGAATTATTTTATATCACATTATTGAGTTCAACTTATGTTTATAAATTTAAAACATATTATATTTACACCATATTTACTAAGTAGTTGTCCAATTCTTATCCAATATTTACACAGCAAACTTCCGTTGAATTTCTAATTAAATACAAATATTAAACAATTATGACGCGAAAAACAATTTATAATAGCATGCTGTTTCTTTAGTAGGTATACAGGTCTCGCCATATATAACGAGGATCGAATATGGCACAAAACGTACATAGAAAAAAACATGACCGTCCCTAGCATGTATTTTTTATCGTAAATGAAAAAACCCTCTTGCTAACTGACGAATCACCGTCAGTGAAGTTTGGAGGTGTGGTGTCCGTAATGTCCCGGCTTTAGCGAATCTAAGTGATGTCCCCCTCTTTATGCATACAAGAATGTCAAACTCGACCTATTTCACTTTCTGAACATCTGAGAACTCCCCGAAACCGACATTTTACTAGGAAAAAGGTAGAAATCCGTCTAAATGCCATCTCTATTTTATTTAAATTTATTCGTAAAAGTTTCAGAATAAATGTATATTAATATTCTGAAATTTTTTACTTGTAAGGTCAAGGTTGATTCACTTAATTAAAGAAACTTTTTCCTATTATGACTTTAAAGCGCACTTTTATATTCATATATGACTGAATCAAATTATTAAAATAAAGGACTATTAATATATATATATACATATTAATATCTACACATCTGTAAAGCCGCAATCTGAATGAGTAAGGTCCAGTAATATATGACAAACGAATGAGTAAGGTCCAGTAATATATGACAAACGATTCTCGTTATATATGGCGAGAACTGTACTTTTGAAGAATTTCTTTTGGATAAAGAAAAAATAGGAAATATAGGGAATGGAAATTATATCAAGGAGTCATATTTAAGAAAAACTTTTTTGAACATTTCTTACGCTAAGTCAACCTATACAGGGAAGTAAGGGTCAAGATTTCTTTCCGAAAAACTACAGACCCCTAGCAGAATATTCTTACGTTTTAAATATTAAGCAAATATTAAAATAAAAATAAAATTCTTGAAATGTTTATCTTGAAAAAGAAAATTATAATGCATGAAGATATCTCGCATGAAAATACTACCATTTGATTCGTCATAACTAGACGAATTAAATGGTGGTATTTTTATAAATTAGCGATCGATTTTGTGCGATTTTATATCATCACGTGGTAATCATAATCACATGAGAATGCCACCATTCGATTCGATTATTATGATTATCACGTGATATGTTATTTCACGGACGCACTATTTTAGGATACCCAATGATCGGGAATCGCACCACCATTCGATTCGGCAAATCACTTTCCTTATGATTTTAAACTCGATTTTTTCAAAAACTATTGTATAAAATTTTTTATTCTTTTTTTGAGCGTTTCAAGTAATTAAATTTTTCGTTTTGTTTTAAAAAGTGTCCACAATATTCTGCTAGGGGAAAAATCAGTATAGGAATGTTACATAGCATTTGAATACCGATAAAGAGAAACGCACTATAATAAGTAGAAACTCATGTCAATCATGTTAGCCGTAATAGTAACAATTTACGCACGGCCTCTTTAGGCTCAACATCTCAAGACCCAGTGGCGGGAATTGAATGAAAGACCCCACTAGAACCTAGGGAATCGAATGGCGGGCTTTACACTCAATTCTCGCCACTGGTCTCGAGATATTGAGCCCCAAAGAGACCATGAGTAAAAATTGTTCTATATCAGGGGCATTCCAGAATGGTCTAAATTCCGATTTGGTCCAGAACATATATTTTTTTGTGTCAGATATGTTTTGTTGGGCTGATCAAAAATTTATACATTCTTATTGGTTTTCGGGAAGAATTATTTGTACGAGCTACCAACTCACCTTGTGACACAATTATTTGAGCGGAGTTTACTCCAGCAGAGCAGTGTGCTCTTTTCAAAATGCAACAAGACCAATACCATCACTACATTCCAAGATTTCTTCTTCGTAATTTTGCTATTAACAATTATAAGAGGATATTTGTGAGCAATGAAAAATTATTCAAAAAGAAAAAACATTTACAGAACTTAAGGAATAAGATAAAGGAGGAAGCACTTCTCCAAACTTACGATAGGACGGTCGGTCAACTGTGCGTCTCTTTAACCGCGAAAAACTATGGATACACAAACATGTACAAAGATCTTGATCATCAAGACGTGATGCATGTAGAAGACAAACTGTCAAAACTTGAAGGAAGAGCATCAAAAACGATCCGAGATATTATTACGGCATCTCAAAAGGAAAATCAAATCGCTTTGCTTAGGAGGGATCTTGGGGATTTACGCAAGTTCCTCTTCATCATGAACTATCGAAACCGTTCTCGATGGTCTCAATTTGCCAACGAAAAGTTTGATGTCATGACTAAGTTGTTGGTAAAAAATTTCATGCACGAGCACAAATTAAAAAGTGCTCGAGAAGTTTGGTTAAGGAATATCCGTGAAATACTAGATACCCCGCATGAAGACGTCAAAGATAACATGCGAATCTTTGATTTAGATAGAAACGATTACCAGTTTCGCATGATTGATTGTTTTCTCGTAATTTGGCAAGCCGGTGAAAATGATGAGTTTATAATAACCAGCAATGGATTTGGCATCTTTGAAGGAGTGACCGGGCCTGGGCTTTTCGGTCAATTTCAATTTGCTTATCATTCGTTTTACGTCATCTCTCCAAAGCTAGTGTTGGTTCTCTGTCATGCTTCGTTTCGAGAGGAAATTGGACCCGACACTATGCAAAAAAAACTCGGATTTAACCGCTCGATATTAGAAAACGCTCCTCACCCACCAGCAATTCCAACATATGTGGCAATCCCGAAGCATGTACCAATTGATGAATATGGCCGTAGCACTGACCGAAATCCGTTCACTGCATTTGACTCGTATCTAAAAAGCATAGGTCTCGAAAGACGGGAAGATGACATATTCACCTTTCCTTTTGCCAAAATCAATTCAGCCACCGTTCACCTCGTAAACTCTGTCTTGCTCAATGAGACTAAAGAAGACCTAGTTCTAACTTTCCTTTCCCACTCGTATCTCTATAAGACAATTGTCAAATACCATAAACACAAAAACGTCGGTTTATTTGAACACGACTTCTCGAGTTTGAAAAGGATATTGTTCATAGCGTTAAACAGAACTCACAAGGAAAACTTGAAACTTCGGAGAAACATCCTAGCTGGACGCGCATGTGATTGGAAAATACGCGAGATGGTATCGGAATCCTGATCAATATCAGTTGTATGGGAGGAGGATAAAGCGTATCTTGCTCTTTATTCTTTTTCTTTTATTCATTTTTGGAAATGAAGGCTTATGAGGCCTAGCATGATATGTTATAATGACTTGTAATATCAGACATCGACATAATCTTTATGATAACCTTCCTATTGTATCTTATCTTTTATATATTATTGCTATAATAGAATACCACCACAACTCATCGTAATTAAAATTTTATTAATCTTTATTTGATTGGCTTACCTCTTAAAAATCCTTACGTGACTCGAAAAATGGTGATCATCTGATGTTTCCCACTTATAATATAATGACTTGTAAAAGAAATGAAAGGCAAAAAAAATAATGAAATTTGAATAACTCATCATTGAATAATTATCACTAATTCAAATAAAGCAGATTGTATTTATTAAATGATAATTATATAATATAATTTTTATTTTTATTCATTTACTTGATTTATTAATTAATGATTTTTTTAATTTTTTAGCTTTTCATTTATTATAATCAAATAGGATGACAATAGTATATATATTATTTTCTTTTAGATAAATAATAACTATTAAAAATTTCATATTATTATTCTATTATTTTAAATATTTATTTCTTATTTATATTAATTTATTAATTCTTTTAATTGAATTAAATAATTTATTATAATTTTAAATAATTTGTAACTTTCTTATAAATTATTTTTCATTTAAAAGTAAATTAAAAAGATTTTACATATATTAATCTTATTTTACAAATTTTTAATTAGATTTAATAATTAAACAGATTAATTTAATAAAGTAATTTTATTATTGATAAACTATTACTTTGATTTTTTGAATATATATTTTGAATTATTATCTTGCTAAAATATGAATTTATTATTTTTAATATATTTTTATAAGTTATATCTAAAAACTAGTACTTAATATATTAATATAAATATTAATATCTATTATATTATTAATTTTTTTAAGTATAATAAGATCTTTATAATTACTTTTTTATAGTTATTTTTTTGTATAATCATCTTTTTTAAGTTTCTTAATTACTAATTATGAGAAGATTGATATACTAATATAAAAATTAATAGTTATTTCTAATAAAAATCATTTAAATTTTAACTAATCTTTATAATTTTTTTATATTAAATAAAAAATAATCTAAATTTACTTTTTAATTATTTTAGTATATTTTAATTTAATAATAAATAAAGTATTACTTTATTAAAAAAACTAAAATAAAATTATTATTTTTAAAAAAAAGATATTTTAAATATTATTATTATCAATTTATAATATTAAAACTTCAAATTACACAAGCAAATTGCCTTATATTTGATAAATATATATTCTAAATTTCATAAAAATTGAATTAGTAGTTATAAAGATATTAAAATTCTAAAGTTTAATAATTAAATTATTTATTATGTAATTTTTATTCAAATTTATATAATAAAATTTAAAAAATAATAATTGAAAAAAGTTATTATTAGTAAAATTTTTTTTTATAAAAAATATATAATAAAAATTTTTATATTTAAATAAATTTTAATATCTAATAACTTAATTAAATAAAACAGAATTAAAAATTTTATTTTAAAAAAATAATTTATTAATATTTATCTGATATAT